AGAGACCATCCAATAAGTGTCAGGGGCCCGAGACTGTTCAACTGCCTCCCAGCATACATAAGGGGGATTACCAACAGACCCCTGGCAGTCTTCAAGCTGGCACTGGACAAGCACCTAAAGTCGGTTCCTGACCAGCCGGGCTGTGGCTCGTACGTTGGTTTGCGTGCAGCCAGCAGCAACAGCCTGGTTGATCAGGCTCTGATCCACCAGGAGGCCTGGTCACAGACCGGGCCGCGGGGGCGTTGACCCCGGAACTCTCTCCAGATTTGATTTCCAGATTTCTCTTAAGAAAACTGGACAATGGCGAGGAAAGGCCGGGTACGCCTCCTTGCAGTTAAACCAAGAGGGAGGGTGGCTGCAAGATGGATTGCTATGGTCAGCAGCACCACAGACAGAGCAGTGTGCTACCGACCTGCAATATTTTGCCAGGTGGCAAAGTGCCAGCAATTCCTACACTGTTGCGGTGTAGGGATCACATCCTGCACTTGTAAACGCTGTCCCACTACATAAGCAGAAAAAAAGGGCAACACATGAAGGGGTAGCTCCCAGGAGAAATGAAAGGAACCGTTTATCCCACTGTCTACTCCCAAGAGGAACCTCGGCGAAGCCGGTGGTGCAGATACGGTATGGGACCCATGCCCTTACCGGTAAACCAACACTCTAGGATAGTTAGGGTATATGCCTACGAGATGGACAGATCCTGGGCTGCAGATTGTGCAGAAGAGTCTCCGAATTCATTGCCTTGGACACCGGAATGACCAGGTACCCAGAAAAAAAAAAGACAGTTTATGTTTACTGAAGAGACGACACAGCCAGAGTTGAATGTGGGAGGGACGACGGGATGATAGAAGTCAAAGCTCTTAAATTGTAATCCACTTTGAGAAAGATTACAATAAAAGTAGGAAGAGAAGAAATATGGATGATGGCTACAAGGATATAACTCTGTCATACAAATGCTAGTCAAATCCAGCATGTATCCTTGTATTACACTTGGAAAAACAGCTTCATGCCCTACACCATTACAGGACTTGAAACTATTTGCTTACACAGCAGTAGCCTGTGAGTGCAGATGGAAATGATCAATGCTTATAGTAGTGATAGGAGAATTTGGAAAGAGGTTAAGAATTTTAACAATTCAGCAGACAATGATAGGATAACCATACAGGAGAGTACAAAACTAGGGATAACAGGGCACAGAGTAAATATATAAGAGTTCACTAATTATACAGAAAATTTGAAGCCACTTGATGTAGCCCATCGAGACACTGTGCAAGTACTTACACACTAGTGTAAGCAGGTCTTCGTCCAAAGGTTGGACGAAGACAAATTACACTAGCGGATAGTTTCACTGTGATCCCGCCTCCTCCTGCTTCGACTCACCTGACTACAGTAAATAAGCCACTTCTCCGGCCCTATGTTGTACTTTCTACAAGATTGATGGACTGAACACATCAACTCCAGGCTGAGGGACTGATTACCTCAAACTCCTCTCCTTACACCTTTCTGCTTTGTATTGGACTGATGAAGCCACTGTGTGGTGAAACGTTTCTTCAGTAAAGATTCCCATATGTTGCACAAGTGTCTCGTTCTTCAACTTGTTGGTTTTCAAAACCATTTATCACCTTAATGTAGTTTGTGTTCTTTTCTTTTCAAAAGAATTTGCTACCGACTTCTGGAAACCATCCAGCTGTGGTGTTACCCTGCAACTCTCGTCAGTGCTACAACAGCTGTTGTTCTGTAAGGTCATTCCTGCAAGTGTGCTCTGTGAGTGACTGTGGTTTTGCTAAATTTTTCTCTTCAGTTCATGATTACTGCTGAAATTCATGATGGATGTTACACCTAGGAAGAATGCAAGTATTGTAGCTCTTAGAAAAAAATGCTGATTTGAGTATCAGATCCCCAAAAATTTGAGTCTTGCAAAGTCAACTGTTGGTCGGATTCTGAAGAGAGCTGACGACATTGGTGATTGTGGAGCGTTTCATCAAGGAATATGTTGAAGAAAATGCAAGACAACACCTCATGATGACAAGGGGCCAGGAGCTGAGTATCGACCCCCTGCAACCACAATTAGGCGAGTACAAGATTATCATAAATAGTGTGAAGGATCCCAAGAAAACCAGCAAAGATCTACAGAGTTGGCTTCAGCAGGCGTAAATGTTGATTCTTCAACTGTTCAACGAAGGTTCCTTGAAGTTGCCAGAAAACTGGTGATGAAACAATTAACTGCTGCTATGAAGAAAAAACTGCAGCGGTGGGTACTTGATCATAAGGGATGGACGACAGATGAATGGAGAAAAGTTATATTTTCAGATGTGTCACATTTTGAAGTACATAGGCACAGATCAGTGGTAGTGAGACGGAGCAAAGGCGAACCTCTTCGGAATGGACACATTCGACAAGCGCCAAAACACCCATCTAAGATGTTTTGGGATAGTTTTACTGTTAAAGGCCCTAGACGGTTTGTTATTGTTGAGCGAACGATGAACAGTGACAAATCCAGTGTGGATAGAGACTTTCTTGATGGAGAAGGCATTTTCTAGCAGGATCTTGTTCCACGCCACACTTCCAGAAAAATGCTGACATTCTTCGAAGAGAATGGGCTAAGGGTTCTGAACTGACCTGGAAACTCTCCTGACCTCATCCCAATTGAGAATCTATGGGCAATAACCAAACGCAGGATTGCGAAACAGAACTTCAGCTGTGAAGAAGCTAATTGCTGCTGTTCTTAGGATCAGGTACCACGATGAAGAATTTGCCAAAATGTGTCCAACATTGGTCGCTTCTTTGTCAAAGCTTGTAGCAATGCTTATAAAAGCAAAGGGTAGTCATATCTCTTATTAAATCAATTATCTGCTTATCATAGTCGTGCATTGTTCAAATAAACATTATTTTTCCAAATGTCTTTTATTATCTTTGACCCACTTAATATGCACACTACTGTAGTACTGCAGCCAAATTATTTTTTTCTTTTAACACACCAGCTGACTCCTCCATGGCCTGGCTGTACGATATGCCCTTCTCATTCAGGAGGAGGATTTCATGTTTCTTAAGAGATGTAGGACAAGAGATGGAATAGGCAGGATGAGTCCCAGCATAATTCAGACATATACTGTAGCTCATGTGTAGGGTTTACCTCCATGAACTGGAAAGTCACAGGTAGGGCAATCTGCATGGGAATGACAGCTTATGGCAGTGTTGGGAATAGGCAAGATCTTCACTGTTAAGTTTCTTGCCAATTACACAGTGTGGAGCTACGACAACACTGCTTAGGCATTTTTGTTGTTCTCTTGCAAGATGAACAAATGGATCAACTTTAAGAATAAGTTGCTGTTGAAATTTCTGGAAAATGGAGAACAATTACTGACCAGATTTTTGGGCCATATTATTCAGGAAGAGATAATGGAATCCACTGTGGAGACTTCTTATTATTAACGTTAGGAAAGTGAGAAACTTACATAGCATTGGACATAGAATTTGTCTTGCAGCACAAGAGGACTGGCGTAGAGAATCGCATCTTTGAAGATGGTATACAATATTTATGAATAATATGCATATTATTATTATAAAAAGAAGCACTATAATATGCACACAATTATACTAATTGTCTTCAACTCTCTATTCCCATCCACCGAGTCCGACAATGGAGGGCTTACCTGTATACTAAAACGACTCCAGGACTAAAATATGGGCATACGTGAGTGACCAACAGATAGCTAAATGGCAGCCACAGGACCAAAATGATGCCAGTGCACTGCTGCCTACTCGGCCCTAATCAAGGGAGCAAGTGCCTCACTAGACAGTGGAAAGTGATGCAAGACCAGCCAGTTACAGTGGGGCTAGTAATGAACCTCCCATTGTTCCTCTATCCCCTTAACAATAAAGTACGTTGCCCACCCGTAGTCAACAGCTCCATCTGCCTGCTTAACTTCCAGGCAAGAGATAAATTTATGGGTCACCGTGCACGACAAATTCAAAGGGCAGTGTTAATTTTGGTCTTGATACATTATGGCCATCCTGAGGGAGCTGAAACCCACGCCAGTAAGGTCATGACAGTAAGGACTGGGTACGTAAGGGACTTCGCATCGGGGGCATTTAATATGAAAATGCTGCGCCATGAGTGGAACTACTCGTGACAAAGCATTGTCTTATTGTTTCAATTATTGCATACATGTCTTTTACCGGCAACTTTATAATATCACCATACCAGTTTCACCACATATCACCTTATTAATTGTAAGTGTTAATTGCACATTTTTGTAACAACTGGAACACTGATATATATACAAGGCTTATAATTTTTTTCTCTCATAACCCATTTATCTGCTTTCCTGGAGGATTAGATTTATGAATACGAGATCATACAAATTATAAATGAAGAATATTCAAGCAGATGCCGTATCAGTTCATGCATCGCCATTAGAAGTCCTCCTAATGAAATTGAAGTGGCCAAAAATAAATTCCCTGGATAGGCAAATAGGTTTAGATGTTTGAACCATCAAAAACTCGTATCAGAACTGACATGACAGAAAATAATATATACCCTCTTGTTTGCAACAGCCATGCAGAATTTCTGCCAAATTCTCAGTGATGTCAGTGATAATCATCAGCTCCTGTATCAGGGTCTCAAAGGATCCTATATCCCTCAAGGTAAGGGGCTCTTGATCCAGGGAACTAAATTTCTCCCCATCCTTAGACAGAACCTGAGGGCCTCCAGTTATCCAGGCACTATACGACCCCTATTAGTTCAGCACTTTCCCTAATTAAAATAACAGGGTTCCTGTATCAGGGACCTAAGGGTAAATGTACGAAAAATTACACTACCCACAATTCCTGCTTTGCCCCCTTATCCGATGGATCAATTTCCCAGCTGTTCGACCCCCCGAAGGGTTTAATAAATGCTTCACTGTGTCACTTGTGCAGCATTTACAGATGAATGGTGAACGGGAGTGTCTTACCATCTAGCTAAACTAGATACCATGGTAGTCGTCTCAGCATGTTACCTTGGAGAGGCAGGGTAGTGTGGGCTGAGGTGGGGCGAGGCTGGGTTCGTCAGCTCCGAGTCGAAGTCAAGCCGTCTCTCCAGTCTGGTCAGTCTCTGCTTCACCTTTTGCTGCGCGCTGGAGTACTCCGCCAGAAGGCGGGCCAGCCGGGTGTTGAGCGTGTCAATGGCACTCTCTGAGGGAGATGACACTATGTTAGAGGGGTGCCTTGATGCTAGTGAGGGGCTCTTGAATCACCAGGATTTCCTCCCATTTTCCCAGGCGTTTCATGACCCCTGCGAGCTTTCGTATTCCCTCCCATGAATGCAATTATAAAAATCCACCACTACAGTACTTGGGCTTAATGACCTAAACGGGTTCAGATTTCCAAAATAATAAAAATAATAATCACAAGGAAAAAGCTTTTTCTAGTAAAAATACTTATGTAATAATTTTGTAATAAAAATACAATAATAGAATTCATAGAGGCTGGAACCTCCTGAACACATACCGAAGCGATTAACTTTTTCTACCATGGTTTCCTGCTGCTCCTGAGCGGCCTTGATTCCCTCCTCGTCCAGCAGACCATCCTTCATGAGAAGCTGACGACCTCGCTCCATCAGAGACTTCTTTGCCTCGGGGTACTGCAAAGAGTCCGTTAAGAATGACTAAAATAACTTTGCAAGGAATGTTAGAGGCAACAAAGCACAACTGAGAGGCAGCAGAGGCGAATAAAAAAATATGCAATTATCGTTGGCAACAACCAAGAATAGCCCAAGTCCCCATTTTTCATGAACATCTCAAAAATCTAAGGATGCAACTCACCGATGATAAATGACAGTAATAAGTGGAATAGTTGAGGCATGATGTCACTTGCAGCAACCTTTGACACGTAATACCCAGCATTGTCCTCCTCTCCCCACACGTCGGGTTGCATGCGGCCAACAGTAACAGCCTGGTTGATCAGGCCCTGATCCACCATGAGGCCTAGTCACAGACCGGGCCGTGGGGGCATTGACCCCCGGAACCCTCTCCAGGTATAAACGACAGGTTATTAAAGCTTCCGTCTTTCCTTTCTTCCCTCCCTCCCTACCTGTCTTCCTCCTCTCCTTACTTCCCTTCTCCACTTCCTCTCTTCTCACCTCCATACCTTAGTCATATTTAATTCATTCGTCATATCTAATCCCGATCCAGTTGTCCTCAACAGTATAGCTGAGGAGGAGCTCATCACAACCAACAAAATTACTTTCAATACTGACGAGACCTATATGTTGTTCGGGAACAAAAATTAATTATATTATTATAATAATAATCATGGGGAAGCGCTAAACCCATAGGATTATACAGTGCCTGTGTGGGGGGTATGGAAGGTATTCAGGCTTAATTCAGCGAACTGGAGCACAGATCCAATTCCATAGATCAAGAGCCCCTCACCAGCATCAAAGAATCTCCCTTGAGGGGCAGGAACAAAGTTAAAAATACTTGATCATAAAAAATATTTCTCACATAGTAAGACAAGGAAACTCTTAGTTATACACCTTGTCCTAAATCTGAAATTTAACATTCACATGCAACACATCTAAGAAAATTTCCCAACTGTGGATATTCTATCAAAAATCGCTGTACTACTCACTAATCTATCTCTACCTCACGTATGGTAATTTGTTTGAGGATCTACAACAGCAAATCACCTACAAGCTATTGTTACCCAATAAAAATAAGCTATTAGAATAAACACCCAATCAGGTTTCAGACAACACTCTTAAATAGCGGGAGGCAAAAGTCTTAACTTACTCGCCTTACAAAACATTCACACCTACTCAGGGCCGGATTACCGCATAGGCAAACTAGGCATTTGCCTAGGGCCCCGCGCATTTGGGGGCCCCACGGTCCAAGGGGTTCAGGTGCACATGGTGCAAGTGCAAAGGGGTCCCTACCTAAAAAGTTCAAGTGTTTGGAGAGTAAAATTGTTTTTTAAAAATTAATCTAAACAAAAATAATGAAATAAAATAAAATAAAAATAAATAAACCTAACCATAGATGGCAACACTCAACACGCCTTTGTTTACATCAGAACAGCTGTGTTTTCCCGCTAATGGGTGAGTATGGGAGATTCCTCTCCAATTTTCTGTAGTAATTACACGTTATCTAGACTTGTACTGTGACAAATTAACTGAAGTGTTGTTGATAGACATTGATGTGTATGGATAAATGATTGTTTTCGCCTCTAAATATTAAGGGAGGTACCTGATTTGGGTTTACTTGACCAAATAAAGATTATTTTGGTAAAATACTATAAAGAAAAACCTAAAAAGCAAAAATGACTTCCGTTTGTAGGTTTTAAAAGCACTTTGTCCTGTCTTTAAGTCTTTATCATTTCAATAACAGATATCAATTGATTGATGTTCTACATCACTTCCGTCGCAAATCCTTAGTTTTCAAGTTTCGACGGAAGTGATGTAGAACATCAATTAATTTACTACATATTTCCCCAGAAACACATAAGCCACGTCAGAAAATCGTTGGTTGGGTGAAACTGAAAATTTGCCCATGCATTCTTTAATTTTATGCCCTTATCATGGTGGTAGGCCAATTCTGCAAAACAATTTTAATTAGTTTAGTTATGAAAATGGTAATATAAATCCCAAATTGGCATTGTTTTGGATCAGATAATTTCTGTTTAAGTAAATTGGGATAAAGGGAGGTGAATTAGAAAAATATTCGTCCCAAACCCTAACCAAATCTATGGTAAAAGTCGTATATGACTCCTTTTGGTAATTTTTGAATTTTTTAGATGCGCAGCCAGGGGAAAAGGGGGGGCTAAAAGGGGTCATTCCCCCAATTGACAAAAAAATAAAAAAATTAAAAAAATAATAAAAAAAAATTAATAAAATTGATAAGAAAATTTGTATTTCATGTTACAGACAGGATTACATCCCATTATGGATCTCGTAAACGGATGTTGGACGTTTTATGCGAGGGGTCACAGAAAAGAAAAAATTCAAAAAAAGAACAAAAAAAAAAAGAGTAGGAAGCGGCAGAAAGTCAAGCCCAGTACATTTTGAATCTGCGATACGTCAGATCATACGGAAGCCCTCCCCTTCATTTTTCTCAGCCAGTATTCTTCTTTTTGTGTCCCCTTCAATGTCTCGACGGACATTTCACCCACAGGATTTGTCTTAAAAGTCCTTGCCTCAGGGCCCCAAATGTAATCCCAGATTCTTACATAATGCTTTCATTTATGATAGGGGAAGCCCGCGTTTTTTAAAAGTATCTATGTTTTTGGGAAAGCTTGCAAATTCAGAACGTAAAAAAGATCATGGTGGATCTCTGAAAGCTAGGAAAAGTGTATTTTTCAGCATGCGCTTTTTTCACCAAGAAATACCTTCACCAGGGGTTCAATGACGGGAAAAAAATTCCAAGCGGTTTCGGGGAAACCCATAAAAAAAACCACTACGGAGCCCCATTTTAGCCAGTGTATTTCGTGCACAAAAAAAGGCTTATTGGTTTCTTTTTGGAAAATCAAACTGAAAAAGAGGCACTTTTTGGAGAAAAGTTTAGAAAGAGTTGTTGCTTTTTTAAAAATTTTAGCTCTAAGAGGATTTGCTTTCGTGGAGAAAATGGGTTTTTGGTTGGGAAAAAACAATGGCTTTCCCCTAGGGAAAGTAAGTAAGTAAGTTTATTCAGGTAACAAAAATACAGTTACATAAAATTATCATACATAGCAGTATGTGAAAAAACCCCTGGAAAACCCCAAAAAAGTCAGACAGAGTGTTTTTCCTTTGGGGATCATGAACGTTAGCAAAATTGATCCTCTTACAAACATTGCCGCCGGGGAATGCAGGAAAGGCACTGTATCTTACATGTCATTACTATATGAAATGAATTTATTGAACTGATGACTAAAAAGGTCCTAAATAACATCTAGCAGCTGTAAAACTGAAAAAATATTTTTGCAATAAGTGTAGATTAAAACCCCAAATATTTCCTACGATAAATTTGCATTCATTGTTCGCTTTGTGACCCCCGTGGTAACCCTGTAGAGCACTTTAAGATAAGATAAGAAAGATAAGTTTTTCTTTTGGGAAATTTTTTAACCCCCGGAGGGTTCCCCCCCGGGATACCAAAAAGTCAGTGCGCATCGAGGATGTTTTAATTATTTCCATTGGGGTTTTTTAATCTTGTTCCCCGGAGCGCCCCCACCAGTCGACAAACCCCCCGGGTACCTATTTGCTGCTAGGTGAAACGGACACAGGTGAAAGGGAAAAAAAAAAAAATGTCGAAATTTTTTCCCACCCCCCGGAATCGAACCCGGGCCCCCCGTGTGTGAAGCGGGGGCTTTAGCCACCAGGGCACTGGGCCACCAGGATGGAGAAAAAAATGAGAATGATATGGTCCCTTTCTTGAACAGACCTCTATTAGGATTGCCGTGGCCAGAGCTACGACAATGCAAGAAACATGTAGGGTAAATATAAGGATTGCAAGCTCGTATCAAGCAAATCAACCCACTTTCTGAATAGGGCCTGCTCAGCACTTCTCTTTAAACTTGTTGGGTCATGTCTGCGGAGTTTTTTGTGTCACGGTTTCATTTTTTTTGGCTTTTACAAGCACTCTAATTTTTTTTCTGCTTAAAAAGCATCGGGGGTATACTCAAATCAACCCTTATGGAGATGTCATCAAATTTTTATCAACAACAAGGGGGTCAGTGCGATGTGCAACACAGTTTGAAAACAGCTTTGTGAAATACGTTTGCTTTGATCCAAAAGCAGAGGATGAAGACCAGACACAATACAAGAAGCGAAGCAGCCAGCTTAGCTCAAAATTTGGGAAATTTTGAATTGGCCTTACTCTGTGTGCTTTGGGACTTATACTGGAACGCCCGAACAAACATTAGAAAATTAAATTTAAATGGCTACTTTTGTACCCCCCCAGCAGGCTTTGGGAATTTGTAAACCATTCGCAATGATGAAGCTTTTTAAAGTTTGAAGAGAAAGTAAACTGTTTGGGGAAAGAAATACAGTTACCGGGGGGTGATCATCAGCGGTAAGGGAAAAGGGGAAAAACCCATTTTTAAGAGCCGACAATGAAATTGTGTTGTGCCAAGGCAGAAAAATTTAAGACAGCTAATCTTCGCATTCTGGATTCATTATTACAGAATTGGTGAAAAGAAAAAAAAAATCTACCCGAATTCTTGACAAATTTTGGGTTTCTGTTCAAAAATTACCCCCAGCAGAGCAGAAATTTAGAGAAACTGCATTAAAATTGCAACAAACCCCTTTCAGCAGATGTTAGGAACATTTTGTTGAAGAAATAGTTCTTTTTTGGGTTTGATCAGATTTTTAAAACTCCACCTGAAAAAAGTGCACCCCCAGCTGCTTTGAAACATTTTAGAAATGCGGTATCTCAAAACCTTCCCCAATGTTTACATGTGTATCGCCTTTACCTAACACTTCCACTACTAACTGTGAAGGAGAAAAGTTTATTTTTGTTTTAAAAGAGTGAAAAACCATCCGTTCAACAAAGACCCAAAACAAATTGTGTAACCTGCCTTTTGACCCGTGAGTCGACTAACAAAAAAATATTATTTCAGAATATAATTGATGATTTTTGCCCAAAATGAAAACCAGAAAAAAATTTTTTAAGA